ATATATACCTACAGTTCTGCTATCTCATAGTGTTTACGTATTGCTGTACTGTGGATTTACACCTACAGGACTACCATCTCATAGCGTTTACGTATTACTGTACTGTGGATACATACCTACAGGACTACCATCTCATAATATTTACGTATTACTGTACTGTGGATATATACCTACAGGTCTACCATCTTATAGTGCTTATGTATTTCTGTACTGTAGATATATACCTACAGGTCTGCTATCTCATAGTGCTTACGTATATCGGTACTGTGGATATTTACCTACAGGTCTACCATTTCATAGTGCTTACGTATATCTGTACTGTGGATATATACCGTTAGGACTACCCTCTCAATGTATTTATGTAATACTCTACTGTGGATATCTTCTTACAGGGTAACCCTCTCATTGTATTTACGTATTACTCTACTGTGAATACATACCTGCAGATCGAACACACCTGACACGCACCTGTCCAGTCGACGGTGTAGTAGCACACCCATAGGCCAACGGTCGCTGTCACCAGCCAAACCCATAAGCAAAGGCTCCACCCTCACTACACCAATCACAATGGAGGATTTCCAAGAAAAGTTGGAGGAGCCAATCATATGCGCCACAACTCTCAATGTCGTGCGGCTGATTGGACGATACATGCAAGTGCTGCACGCTATCCCCAACGCCCACGACGACGTCTTCGCCGGCGTTGCGCAGGTGTGTTCAATTCGGCACAGACAGAAGAGGTAGACATATGAAGTAGACATGAGGTAGACATATGAGGTAGACATATGCGGTAGACTTAAGTGGTACAGGTGTCAATGATCTCATATATCACGACTCATACCCTTTTGTCAAGGAGATGTGACACTTTCAGCATTGAACTGTGGTTGAGTGATGAGTGTATATAGCTATGTTTATATGTAGTTGGTTTCTGATTTGCGTATATATCTATGATAGTATATAGATAGTTAGATTTGCCCTTGTTAGTTGTCAGTTGTTAGTTGTTAGTTGTTAGTTGTTTGCTATGGCTGTAGGTGTTACTAATGTCCCGTTGCTCTCGTTCCCTCTGCAGTTGGTTGACTATTATCTGTTTGCCGTTTACCAATTCTTCGGAACGCCATTGCCTGCGCGTGGAGGTATGTGTAAACATGTTATCACAAAACCCTAAACCCTAAACCCTAGAAAGATCTACCTACCTATTCTCACAAAACACAATTGCTGGCATACATCACTTGTTTCCTGTCGCACGTGTTCTATGTCGAGTGCGTTGTATTGAGTGCTTTGAATATGGCAGTGATCGTGTGTGTCTGTAATATTGCCAATGTTTATTTATTACAGCACATTGTCTCAACCTGATGAGAGTAGACCCTAAACCCTAGAGCATAAACCCTAAACACTTTATAACACAAAGGTCATCAACATCTCACATCTATTGTGTTTTAATTATATACAAACACACGAAGTACAACCTAAAGTCTAAACTCTAAACACTAAATAAACACCCCAATTATTTCCACTTGTACACATGTGTTTGATCAAAATAGTCCTACCATATGTATTTTACATAGCCTTAGTGTGTTAGTAATACTTCCCATGTGTATTTTATATAGCCATAGTGTGTTAGTAATACTTCCCATGTGTATTTTACATAGCCTTGGTGAGTTAGTAATACTTCCCATGTGTATGTTAAATAGCCATAGTGTGTTAGTAATACTTTCCAGTGTATGTTAAATAGCCTCAGGTGTGTTAGTAATACTTCCTATCTCTCTTTGTTGCAGCTGCTCCGAGTGGTGGTACTCTCTACTCCAGTAGTCCCAGCAGTCCCACCCCACGCACCACTGTGCCGGCTAACAAGTTTGAGACCGTTCTCGGTAGGTATTGGGCGTGTTTGATTGTGAGTAGATATAAGGGGTGTTTGATTTTGAGTATGTATAAGGGGTGTTTGATTGTGGGTAGGTATAAGGGGTCTCGGATTGTGGGTAGGTATAAGAGGTGTTTAATTGTGGGTAGGTATAAGGGGTGTTTATTGTGGTGAAGTACAGGGGTGTTTAGTTGTGGGTGGGTATAAGGGGTGTTTGATTGTGGTCGGGTATAACAAGTGTTTGATTGTGAATGATATTTGTGATGATCCTTCACTGAGTGCAGAATCTAGTACTTTTTGTGTTGCATCTATTTCTTCATCTAGATCTCACAGATCTCTATCCAAATCTTCATCTAGATCTCACAGATCTCTATCCAAAACTTCATCTAGATCTCACAGATCTTCATCTAGATCTTCATCTAGATCCCACCACCCACCATGTTGCATGGTGACATCTACATTTTCGTCGACACCTTGCTGTGTTTGCCCACTCACACGCACTCGCGGGACAATTGGTAGCGATGTGCGTGCGCTTATGTTGCACTGCAACCGATGATAACAAACAGATGTTCAACAGTTGATACCCCACACAAGGCTGTGAATTCTAAAACTCTACAACCCTAAAACCTTAAAACATACATGATTGTGGTTTTATTTCTTTGTATCCTTATCGGCGTTAATGCTTCTATACGTACCACTGAATTCATCATTTGTCACGTGCTGTTCTATCTGAGGTATTTCCATGTATTATAGGTAGTGCTACGTCTAGCTAGATTCACTAACTATACCCATAAGTGGATTCACCTCATGCATCTCTGCACTGGCTTATGTGATATATTCATCTGTTGGTTTATGCGATATAGTCATCGTTGGTTTATGGGATATATTCATCTGCTGGCTTATGTGATACATTCATCTGTTGGCTTATGCGATATATTCATCGTTGGTTTATGCGATATATTCATCTGTTGGTTTATGTGATATATTTATCTGTCTGTTGGTTTATTTGATATATTCATCTGTTGGTTTATGTGATATATTCATCTGTTGGTTTATATGATATATTCATCTATTGGCTTATGTGACATATTCATCTGTTAGTTTATTTGATATATTCATATGTTGGTTTTATGTGATATATTCATCTGTTGGTTTATGTAATATATTCATCTGTTGGTTTATGTGATATATTCATCTGTTTGTTTATGTGATATATTCATCTGTTGGTTTGTGTGATATATTCATCTGTTGGTTTATGTGATATATTCATCTGTTGGTTTATGTGATATATTCATTTGTTGGTTTATTTGATATATTCATCTGTTGTTTGCTTTCGTCTCGTCCATACTTTCAGGGTTTAGTGTGCATGATTCAAGCAGTTTTGCTATTTACTTTTCTCACGTTCGCCCAGAGTTGTAGGGTGTTAGGGTTTCAGCAATGTATTGATCGATAATTCCTGTTCTCTCTTGCGCTCCTTCAGGATCTGAGGGGCTGTCACGGCTACTGATTAAAATGCGCGGCATGGTGTCCAGTGGTGGTATGCACATTGCACCGGGACAACTGGTGGCCACCCCAACCATAGCGCCATCAGTCCCAATCAGCAACAAACAGGTGTGTGTGCATTAGTCTCAATCATTACAAACAGGTGCGTGTGCATTAGTCTCAATCAATAACAAACAGGTGCGTGTGCATTAGTCCCTATCAACAACAAACAGGTGCGTGTACATTAGTCCCAATCAACAGCAAACAGGTGCGTGTGCATTATAGTCTCAATCTTTACAAACAGGTGCGTGTGCATTAGTCCCAATCAACAACAAACAGGTGCGTGTGCATTAGTCCCAATCAACAACAAACAAGTGCGTGTACATTAGTCCCAATCAACAACAAACAGATGCATGCGCATTAGTCCCAATCAACATCAAACAGGTGCATGTGCAT